GTTAATTTTAATCACTTGTTTTAATCTGATTTTGTTCTAACCACAAATCCATAATCTATTTTATTTTAAATAATTAAATTTTACTTTCATAAGATTAAACATCCTTTTGTCCAGTAAATCTTCTGCCAGGCTATTTTTCATTCTTGAACTTGGAGTCAATTCAAAGTGGTCTTGTTTAAGTCGCTCATGGCAATGACTTGAATTACATCTCTGATCCCACAAGTAACCTACCTTCCTTCCAGCAAGACCAGAAAATGTGGTTTCTGTCTTTAGTGAGACATCTTGTCGTTTCTGATGGTGAACTCTTTTCAATGTTGTTGCATATTTTCTTAACGTTGTGCTGTAAATTTGTGAATAGCATTTGCAATTAAGATATTATAAGAGCATTTAGTATAAATTTCCCAGATGACTATTGAATTTCCCACCATTGCCTGAATATATATAGGCTTGTAATCACTAATCACCTCACCTTCAGCGATTTATTGTTAAATATTAAGTAATACTCACAAAGGCTCAAGACACCAATGAATAATAAGGGTACGATGACTAGGTTAAGAAATTTATCAGAGTATGATAAGTACTTGTCTCATTGTGATAAATATTATCACACTCTGTGGCTTCATGACCTTACTAAAGGTGGTATATGGGATTTAATATATAACACATCTTTTAGAACAATGAATTGTGGGGGTGTTCTGAGAGAATTTCCATACATGCAAGAAAACATGGGCGAATGACATTTCATTAGTCGATTTTTACTGTAACTCATCATGAAAACAGACATCTAAAATGAACATCTGGTACCTTCCAATCCATTTTAAATGTCATAGGATCTTGCGTCCACATGTTGTAGCCGGTAAAATGGAGATCAACTGGACTGCAGTTGGAAAAGTGTATTTTGATAAACTGCCTGTTAGGGTCTCCACATCGCAAATGCAATAGTAAATGCTAAATTTAAGAAAATAAAAGGACTGTAATAGGGTAAATTGTAATACTGTACTTTTTACTCGCTGGAGCACCGTGCCCCAGGTGAGTATAGGTTTCTGCTTGCATTTTTCTTGGACAATGGATCGTCGATAGCCACAAAATAGAATATTAATGAGCTGCCTAATTTCCCCCCAATTATCCATAAGGCTCCTACCATTTTTGCCCAAATTATCCATAAAATACTACCGTTCGATTGAGCGTAAGAAATTGTACCCACTGATGTCAAATGTATTTCTAAACAGCAGTATTCTAGCAATTTGTGGCCTTTGAAAATCAAGCGAATATTTGCAATGCCTAATGGCACAATAAGGACAATAATACCACCGTTCATACAAATGTGTTACTAAACAAGCGATTTATGGCCTTTGTCTTTGAAAATCAAGCAAAATTGTATTGTTGACAAATCGCTCAAAATTATTAAACTACTAGAAAATACATGCATGCAGAAACCCTCGCCTTGCCGACAAAACCATTTTATTTTCCGAACATGAAGTATTTTAAGTAGTTGTCATGGCAACACGATAATTTTTTAAGAATATTTTTACAAATGAAAAATCCCCTATAAATATCACTTTTAATTACAAAATTATCAATTTCCTAAACATATATATGTTAGGTATGTTATTATACGTAATATAAGCTTGAATTTAAGGTAAAATTCAACCACAAACGCTTCGCAAAACGTTTTAAAATGTTCTTTTACTATAGAACTAAACTGCCTTTATCGATAAACTTTGAGTTCGAAATAAAATTATTCCAAATTCTCCCATGCAAATACTCAGGTACGTTAATGCCTGGGTCTCAGTTTGTGTATTTAGCGAAAATAAACAAAAAATCATAAAAAAATAAGTATGGCCTTGATTATTACCATTCAAGTTTTATATGATTTATCAAAGGAGATTCTAAAAGTTGACCTACTTTTCGTTGTCATGGCAACGATCACGTGATGTATATTTTGAAAAACAACACAAAAAATTATACTTTTTATTCAGAGGCTCTGCAGCAGTATATTTTGTGACTGAGAGGACGCAGAATTGCGATAATCATTCACACATAATTTCATTGTTTATTGAATAAATTCGGAAAGTTTACATTTAGACTTCGTTTCATTATTTTATGTGGCTATATTACGATGATCGGCATCAAACGAATATTAATCGCGTCATTAAATGTTATCTACAAATAAATGTACAGTTTCCAAATTAACGCAGGAAACTTTGTTCCCTTGTTAATGTTTTTAGGTAACAAACATAGCAAAATTTTGTCAAATTACCCTGCTGCAAGTCGAACACGTTTTTCGCGTGATGAATTTCACACGCCATAATGAAACAGTCTGCCGCTTATTGTAAGGGATATTATATTTCCAATAACAACATTCATTGCGCATTCAAGCCGATATCTTGAAGCATAGTTAATGCTTGAAGGGAAGTATGCCATGGTGGAAAAGACCAAGTGAACTATATGTGCTATTAATTTGTAATTCACAAGCTATTTTTCATTGAAAATAAGAAACAGTCAACAATTAATACTGAATAATCGCAAGATAGCGCACTATAAGAAGCTTTTATTTATCAGCAGTTCAAAGGTCAGCTGTCGCAAATGATACAATACTTATTGCTATACAAAGAGCCAATTATTACATCAAAACTGAATCGTATACCGACTTCTTTGCATTGTATATACCAAAATAATCCTGTCGCTCATATATACTATATTTTGATTTGATGCAAACGCCTGAATTCACTAAAATACTCACACAAGGGGCGAATATTCTAACACACGCATTACTGACAGATCGCGCGTGCAACACTCGCGCAAGATATCATCCAAGCGTGGGCAGACCCAGGCATTAACATACCTGAGTAACTTTGCTTAGTATAATAAAAAGTGTAATCAATAAAGAAACACTGAAATAATACGCTGTCTTGTTTCATATTTATACACAACGATCGGCTTTTAAAGTAATTACAGTAGGTATGTTATTATACGTAATATAAGCTTCAATTTAAGGTAAAATTCAACCACAAACGCTTTGCAAAACGTTTGAAAGTGTTCTTTTAATATAGAACTAAACTGCCTTTATCGATAAACTTTGAGTTCAAAATAAAATGATTCCAAATTCTCCCATGTAAATAACTTTTGTTAGTATAATAAAAAGTGTAATCAATAAAGAAACACTGAAATAATACGCTGTCTTGTTTCATATTTTACATACGCAACGATGGGCTTTTAACTCCTTCTCAGCAGAGGCCATTACGAGTAGAACGTGCACGTTCTACGGATGTAATTCGTTCATATCTTTGGTTCAGTGCACGCTATGTAAATGAAAATACTACCATTCGATTCAGTATAAAAATATACACTAATTTATAACGATAGTTTTAGTCAGTGGCTAAATTGTAGCGACTTATGAGCTTTGAAAGTCAAGCGAGCTTGGTATTTGATCAAATTACACAATATTACTAACAAATTATAAACATAGACATACCTTTCGCCGAACATAACTTCGTCCCCTTGAGACGTATGCTCATTCTGGTAGTCTTGCTGAATGAAGCAGTTAAAAATAACATGTATACTGTTATTTTCAAGCTTCTATCTTTAAAATACGAGTTTTCTTGCCGAATTTTGCATTTCTGCCCAGAATTTGCGTTAATCCCAACCGGAAATACAACGAAAAACCGTCAAAACAATGCGTAGTTTGTATCGCGTGACTCTGGAAATGCCAGAAATGGATTCTACAGGTCAAAGTGCACCCATACGCGTGAGTTTGACGTCATCCCGGCTAAAGGGAGCTCCTTATTGGCCAAGTATTATGTAATACAAGCGCGTGCGAGTAAAACCCGATACCTTGAAAAATTCAAAATAAATATTTCTACTCGCCGTATTCATACAAAACTTTCTACACTAAAGCGCTTGAATACAAAGAGTATTTTGCACATATATCCTTTCAGAAAATGACGCCAAATTTCAGAATATATTCAACTTTTTCTCTTTTTCCCGTTTGAATGTTTGGCGAAGCCGTGAGTATAAATATATGATTGTTTCGGTTTGTGTAATGTTTTGACTGCACTTGACCCCCCGTTCGAAAGGTTATATTGTGAGGATTTCAATGGTGGCATTTATTTAATAGGGGGGTAAATACTCGCCGATATATTTATATTAGAAAAATTGTATCGAAATGTAATACGAAACCGGTTGTCGAGAAAGAGTTAAAGTAATTACAGCCGAGATTACAGTATATTAAAAGCAAACAATGCATCAATATTTAAAACAAACTTACCTTCGTTAACGTCGGCACCTTTACTTCCTTCTTTTAGCAATCCTCTTGCCTTTTTGCCTCAAAAATCCTTTGCAATTTACAAAATCTTGCAAAAATGAAATATATTTGCAAGAAATCATCAAATCAATTTCGCTGTCGTCAATCGTCATGCAGCCGTTATGCCAATTTTAAATTTGACCAATCGGTGTTGGCTATTCATTACAGTCCGCTATATTATGAGATCAGTGAGGATGACCACTCACCGAAACACGCACAGTGACCCACGCCCGCGATATTTGATGAACTTTAGACTTCGCTAATGCTTCTCTTCCCTGGGTGTAAATAGCCGGGGGCACGGCGCTTTGCGCCCGTCGGCTCGGGGATTAATTATAAAAAAATGCAGTACGTTTGATCCTTGATAACTTTGGTATCGTTGGTTTTCTCTGTTTCGGCCGTATACCAGTGGATTCGTCTCACTTCTCTCTTCATTTTGATAGTATTTTGAGCCCAAAAGCCCAAAAATATTTTATATTGAACGTTTTAAAATTAAAGCGCAGTTTAATCCTAGCGTACGGACCAACTGGCAGCTGACAGGGGTAATCTCACAGGGCTCGGAAGACGCACTGTGATTGGCTGTTAGGTGAAAGGGTTTCCCTACACGATTTTCGTTTTCAAAGCCGGAAGTGATTCCAACCGCAATCCTGCCAAAATAGCCCTGACGGTTCCTGTGGGTGCATTGGGTGCAGTGGTTGCAATGGGTGCAGTGGTTGTAATGGGTGCAGTGGTTGCAGTGGGTGAAGTGAATGCAGTTGGTGCAATGGTTGCAGTGGGTGCAGCAGGTGCAATGGTTGCAGCGGGTGCAATGGTTGCAGCGGGTGCAATGGTTACAATGGTTGCAGCGGGTGCAATGGTTGCAGCGGGTGCAATGGTTGCAGTGGCAGCAATGGTTGCAGTGGGTGCAATGGTTGCAATGGTTGCAGTGAGTGCAATGGTTGCAGTGGTTGCAGCTGTTGCAGTGGTTGCAGCGGGTGCAATGGTTGCAGCGGGTGCAATATGTGCAATGGGTGCATTGGTTGCAGTACTGTATGTATCATTGTGTGATCATGTACAGTAATGCGTGTATTTGTATAGCCCCAGCGAGTTAACGCTCCGTTGAGCGTCTTGTTAAAATTAGATTCGATACTAAAGCTTGAATGATATAACATAGTCATACTCAAGGAAAATCGGAATCCAGAAACGCTCGGGTATATGAACTGAGTTGCTACTTGGATGTCTGACGTTCCTATATATAGTTATTTATTAATATAGCCAATATGAACAGTTAATGAAGAAGACAAATAGTATAATGTTGTTTATAATATAAATGTGATATAACAGACGATTTGATTGCCTAATGAGTGTGCATTGTATGTGACACAATAATGCACTGTGATCTGTGGCACTGCCTTGCTCTTTCTCTGTTTTTTTCCCTCTTCATCACTGCTTTTTAGCCAAAAATATAAACAAAACTATAACACTTTTAAAATACAAAATTAACCAGAAAGCAAGAAGGAATAGACCAAAGGAACAAAGCAATTTTCTATAGTTTTACGTATAAAATTAACCGGTTTGGTATTCGTCGAAATTTGTTGTTGTCTCGACAAGTTTTGGATAAAAGCGTGCAAAATAGCCGAGAAAAAAAACTTGAAAAAGATACAGGAATACCAAATACATACAAAAAGGCAACAAAAACTGAATATAAGTGATTTAGAAAGTACCTTCAATTCTCTTCTGATAACAGCTAGATATATTTTCGGTGAATGACAAAAATTCAATAATTTTGAAAATTAAAACTGAGTATAAACACGACGAAACCTATGATTTGACGTATTTCATGGCAAATCCAACAGCCCAGATGCTGAAAAACTTTGGCAAATTAGTCTGTGTATCACTGCTTTTTTTTATTTCCAATATTTTAAACAATTGTTCCGGCTTTATAACATCATAAGTTTGTATTGTTTTGGCAATTTTGCTCCTTCGCTCACTTAAAAATTCAAGCGACAGTCAAAGCATGCGCGTGACGTCACTGAGTACATGTTAGGAGAATTTCAACGTCGATCGTTTGAATAAAATTGTTTACTATGTAACATCTTCTACTTATCTTCTACGTCGGGAGAATACTCGAGAAGCGTGTAAAACACTCGGCTACGCCTTGTATTTTACATGCCACATGTTTTTCCTTCTCTCATATTCTCCCAACATTCCCCACATGCATTATCACACCATAAACGCATGCGACTTGTTTTCTATTTCTTAAATAACAATCACCTGTTTCAATTCCTTTCATATCTTGATACAGTTTACCTCCTTGTACTGTCATTTGTAAGTCTTCCTGCAGGGGTGGAAAAATTTTTTTTCTTTCTGGGAACCTGGGTCGAAGGCTAGAAATTTTCTGTAAAATTTGCAATGTTACAATTACAAAAATAACAAAACAAATGCATACATAATTATTGTATTATTTGGACTTTAGTAATAATAGGCTTTAGGCAGGTTTTTGTATGCTCGTACATCACAATAGTTGTTTG